GGGGCGGATGCGGGGGGGAGATGTTCATCAGCAAGACTGGCCAGTCTATTTCATATTATCCTTGTCCTTTTTTCTGTATCAAGGTTATACTGGTTTCATTAAATTAGTTGGTGATATTATCTCTTATTCTATTTTTAGAAATGTTTGGATAATATTGAATTATCTCTTCCTTGAATATTCTGGAACATTTGTAAAGCCATCTGTGCTGGTTTTGGAATTATGTGGGAGGAGGGAGTCCATTTTAAACTACTAACTCAATTTCTTTAGTGGCTATAGGACTATTTGGAATTTGTATTACTTCTTGAGTTATCTTTTATATATTTTTCTAGAAATATTTTATATATTTTTCTATTTTGCTTGGGTTTTAAAATTCATTAATATAAAGCTATTCATAGCATTATCTTATATCCTTTTAATCTCTCCTTCTTAATTTCTGTTATATCCCTCCTTTTCCCCCTATATTGATTATTTTTGCCTCCAATGTTTGTTCTTAATTGCTCCCCAAATTTGTTGATTTTATTAATCTTTTCAAAGAACCAACTTTTGGCCTTGTTGATCCTTTCTACTATACAAATTTTTTCTGATTATTTAAATTTTGTTCTTACTTTTATTATTTCTTTTCTCTTTTTTCTTTGGGTTTATTCTATCGTTCTTGTTTTACTTCTCAGTTTTGAACGCTTAGCTCATGAATTTTCAGCCTTCTTTTGTTACTAATATAAACTCTTAAGGCTATAAATTTTCCTCAAATACTGCTTTAGCTGCAACCTACAGTTGTTCTTTTTTTAATTGTGCTAAAATATACATAACATAAAATTTACCACCACCTATAATTTTGATATGTAATATCTTATTATGTTTTAGTTCTAAGCATCTTAAGATTGTCATTATGATTTTCTTTTTGATCAATGAGTTATTTGAAAGTGTGTTATTAATTTTCAAATATTGGGGAAAGAGACTATCTTTTTGCTATTGTTTTCTAAATGGTATTGTGGCCAAAGAATATGGACTGTATCACATTGATTCTTTCAAATTTGTTGAGACTTGCTTTATGTACGACCTGGTATGAGGTTCATTTTTTCATAAATATGTAGATATTAGTGTTGCATACATGTCTAATAAATCAAAGATGTTAACTGTGCTGCTTGAATCTTTTATATCACTACAAATTGCTTTCATTTGTCTTGCTTGATCTATCAGCTCCTGAGAAAGGTAAACTCTCCTACCATGATGGTGAATTTGTCAATTCTCCTTGTAATTCTTCCCTTTTATTTCTACTTTATACTTTTCTTTCTTTTTTCTTTTCTTTTTTTGTGAGGAAGCTTGGCCCTGAGCTAACATCTGTTGCCAATCTTCCTCTTTTTCTTTTTTCTCCCCAAAGCCCCAGTACATAGTTGTATATCCTAGTTGCAGATCCTGCTAGTTCTTCTATATGGGACATCGCCTCAGTATGGCTTGATGAGAGGTAAGTAGGTCCATACCTGGGAGTCAAACCAGTGAACCCCGGGCCACTGAAGCGAAACACACAAACTTAACCACTACACCACCAAGCCAGCCCCTATTTTTACTTTATAAATCTTCAGGCTATATCATCAAATGCATACAACTTCAGAATTATTAAAACAGCAACCAACATTTTCTAAGTCTTTAAAAAAAAAAAAGAAACCTCTGGGGGTGGAGTGCCCTCAGCATCTCTGGCAGGCCCCCTGGAGGCAGCACTGAGAACCCATGTGGGTGGAGGTCCACTTGCCATGGGTCAGCCTCGTGCTCAGCCTCACAACCAAAAGAAGTGTCGGAAGAGGGGTGGCCTGTTCCAGGCAGTCCCCAGTGGCTGGAGTCTGATCCCTAGCCTGGCAGGGTCCTCCCAGAGTGAGTGGGCTCTGGGGTCAAATTCCTAGGGGGCTGAGTCAGACAGACACTGATGACTGTTCTCAACCCCCAGCCCCCAACCCAGCTCCATGGGCTGACCACCTTGGGCCGCTCTTATGTTCCAGTCACCTCCTTCCTTCCTGCTGGAGCAGCCATATCAGGCCCAAAGGCTCCAAGGGACAGATTCAGGGCTCAGGGAGGGGATTTTCTCCTAGGAGATCCCCATGAAGCCCTGGGTGCCAAGTGTGGGCCCCTCTCTTTATCAGGGGCTTTCCTTCTGTCCCAGATCAGCTTCTCTGCCCCAGACACAGCCGGAGACCGAGCACAGCCAGGCTTCTATTGCCCCCTCTCAGACCCCAGGGAGCCCTGCCTGTCCCCCACAGTCCACCCTCTGATCGATGCATTGACGAGAGCTGCTCCCCCTGGTCCCCGTGCGGCGCACCCTCCTCCTCCTCTGCTTCACACACCTGCTCCCCGGCACGCCGTCTTGGCTTCTCTTTACACCCTCCGGGCCACCTCAGCCACGCCATGGCTGCCATCACCGTCCCCACAGCCTGCTGGAGATGCCCCTTACCCCCACCCTGGATGCCAACTGGCCCTTCATACCCAACAGTCCTCCCCATCTCCCACCCCAGGACGACACAACTGTCCCACTCCCCTAACCTGGAACCCAGACAGCCAACATTTTTTAAGTGTTTTTGCTACACTTTAATATTCTCATATTACCTTTGAATAAGTAATATATTCGCATGGTCCAAAATTCAAAAAGTTTAAAAGAGCCTATCATGATAAGTCAGCCTTCCTGCCCATCTCCCGGCTGCCCAGTCCCCTCCTAGGAGGCCACTTCCATTGCCAATTTCTTCTGGGTCGTTCCAGGGGTATTCCAGTAGAAAAAAGTATTCTTTATTTCCTTTCTCTCATCCAAAAGGGAGCACGAGGCCCAGTGCCCTGCACATCACCGGTTTCCATCTACTATTTACCTGGAAGCTTATTCGTATTTGTTCATAAAGAGCTTCCTCATTCATTTTTGCAACCGAAGAGAAGTCCATTGTTTAGGTGTGTGAGAATCAACCTGACTTATTCCTATGGAAGGACGGTTCTGTTTCCCCACCTTCTGCTACCCCGGCTGCACTGTGCACACCCCACTTGCCAGGGGGTGAGGATCTGCAGGCTGCTTCCCTGTGGGAGGGTTGTTGGGCGATAGGATGTGTCATTTGTGTCAAATACCCTTCACAGGGGCTGGACCCACTCACCCTCCCACCAACAATGCTTTAGAAATCTCCTTTCCCCACATTCCTGTCAACCGTCTTTTAGGCAACTTTCTTATGCTTGACACCCGAGTAGGCAAAAAATGATATCACAGTGGAGTTTTCATTTGCATTTCTTTAGTCTGAGTGAGCATTTTTTTCAGTTAAAAGCCATTCGTATTTCCCTTTTCTGTGGACTGTGTTTTCAAACACTTGGCCCATCTTCTTATCTGGTGTTGGTCTGTTTCGTTGATTTCCATTTCAGGGAAATGAGCTCTCTGTCATGTGAGTTACAACCATGTTCCCCAGATTGTCACCAGCTTTACTAAATGCCTTGAACCACGGGGACTTCTTCATATTTGAGTCGTTTAGTCCATCAGTCTTTTCTTTTATGGTTTCCAGATTCTTTGTGATTCTTAGAAAGGCCTCTGCAGCCCTGAAATTACATTTTTAAGACATTCTTCTCTGGTTCCTTCTATGCTGTGGTTGAACTTTTTCACTTGAGTATTGGGCACATCTCATATCATCCTGTTGTATAGTAGGAGATGCGGACCCTATCTATCTTTTTCCAGATGGCTACTCGCTGACCAACTCCTAATAATGTATTTTCTCCCCACTGACTGAAAAGCTACCTCCGTCTCCTACTAAATCCGCACGTGTACTTTAAGTTATTTCTGGACTGGCTGCACTCTTGGCTCTTTTCCCTCTCTCGGTCCCAGCCTCCAGGCATCTTCGGGGCCCTGTGGTTTCTCCCTCCTAAACATTTCTTAAATTCGTCTCCTTCCCTCACTGCCCACCCGCAGCTCTTGTTCAGAACTCCGCGTTTCTCCCAGGAGTGCACGGGCGTGTGAGTGTCCGTGCTGGGCGAGGAGGGCTGGGAGCTCTCTGCATTGTGGATGGGACCATGGGACCCTATTTTCTCTCGGATGAGGCCCCCTCTCCTTTGGGGCAGGCAGGTCTCCACGCTTGTCTCCGCCCACCCTCCCCCCTGCTTCCCTCCGCCACCACCAGGCCAGACCCCCCAAAGGTCTTCAAAGCCACACTCAGTGTGTCCTTGCACCTGCACGCCCGCCGCCCAGAAGGCCCTGTCCTCCCCTCCTGCCTGACCAGATCCTACTTCCCCTCCAAGACTCAGCACCCGGCATCCCTCGCCGGGCCCCCAGCACCCACCGCTCTCCTCCCCACTCCTCAGCCCAGCCCCTAGCCTATCATGGAAGGGTAGGAGCAGAGACCCCAACCCCAGCCTGCCTGCCAGTCCCCAGGCACACACACGGCTGCACAGAACAAGCCAAGATATGGACACGCCTTTGCTCTAGCGACAGAGGCCAGGAGTCTGGGCCAGCTTTCCACCCCATCCAGTGGCTCCCCCATCTCCTCTAGTGGGCCGTCTTGGGTTTCGACTCTCAACCTCCCTCCCTCCTCCATGGACCCCCTTCGCTCCTGCGTGTCTCCTGTGCCCTGGCCCTGGGTGTCAGTCCTCTGGCTCTGCCGGCTCTGATGTTGGGTGGGCCGGGGCTTCTGATGCTGAGCAGGGAGGGGAAGACACCATCAGTGGGGGCTGGCCCGGGGGTAGGCAGGATGGCCTCCTGCCTGCAAGTCCGCTGTGCAGAGCTGGGCTGACAGGCACTAGTCACCATTCAACTTGCCCTGGGGAAGTGGACAGAGCAACGTCCCTGCCCCCAGAGGGCTCACATCCCTGTAGGGACACAGACAATAAACAAGGAAATAAATATAACACTAATGCAGGTGGTAAAAGTGCGTGAAAAACAACAAAGGAGAGTGAGGAGAAGAGAACTACAGAGGGGATGGGGAAGGCCAGACGGGCTCTGAAAGATGGGGGAAGAGAGCTGCAGGGGAGGGGCCTGCCACGGGCAAAGTGGGAGGAGCTCGGGGTGTTTTCAGGGACAGCGAGAAGGCCGGCGGCGTCCTTCTCCAACGAAGCGCCCAGGGCAGAGGGGCCTGGAGGACCTGGAGGCGCCGCTAACGACCTTACACGCGTGCTGTGACCAGGGAACCCGAGATCCGCATCTGAGGGCGCCCTCTGGTGGCCGTGTGAGAAATAGACCACAGCGGGACAAGGGCTGAAGCCGGAGACCCTGCGGGGCCACTGCGGTGTCCAGGCGCCGGGGGACGGAGGCTTGGACCAGGGAGGTGATGGTGGAGGATACGGGAAGTGGTCGGGCCCAGGATTTATTTTATCTAGACTGCAGGATTTGCTGAAGGAGTCAAGAACGGTGCCAGTTTGATTCTTAGCAAGTTGGCAGATGGGAGTGCCCTTTAACCAGGAGGGGGCTGACCGCGGGAGGAGAGGGTTTGCAGGGACAAGAATCGAGGCTTCCACTCCGGACATTTCGGTTGAGAAGCCTGTTGGACAGGGAGAGGTCAAGTGCCCGGCTGGAGGATGAGTCTGGAGCAAGGAGCAGGATCCGGACTAGAGACATGGCGTGGAGTTGTGCAGAGGTGGACGGTATTTACAGTGGCAGGAGGTCACCCGGGGAAGGAGTGCCGCTCAAGACAGGCAGGACCGGCCCGGGCCCTGCAGTCTGCACACAGCCGCCTCCTCCTCTGCCTTGAGCTGCTTGACCAGAGGCTCCCTTCCATTGCCAGCCTCCCCATACCAGACCCAAGGGGCTGGGAGAGGGCTAGGAGGCAGGAAAACCCCTTCTGGGGCCAGATCTGTGTCCCCCTCCAGGCTTTCCTGGCCCTGCCCTCAGCCCCGCCCCACCGCTTCATTGCACTGGCTTTGGCCGCCTACCCGGACCCCCTTCCCCTCCCTCCCTCCCTCTGCATCCCCAGCCAGCAGCCCGTTCTCAGATCCCTATTCCTGCACAAGTTATCCAAAGCACCTTTAATTCTTCCTCCTTTATCCTCCCAACCGCACATGGGCCATTCCCCACCCAGGGACCGCGACCCCCAGACCCACCGGTCCACCCCTGTGAGTTCCACCCTCAGCCTCAGCCAGGCCCCGGCGCTCTCGGCCATCCCTCGCTGACCCCTAGAGGGCGCTCTTTCACCACACTCTCCCCCAACATCCCGATTGGGGAACCAGCAACCCTCTCCTCCGTTAGATGCACGACGTCAGCTTCCACTCCCGCCACACCCGTCTAGAGATGGCCCATGTCCCCCTCCAGGTTCCTTCCTCTCCCGCTCACGGCCCCCGAGTCAGCTGCGGGTTCACGCCCCGCCTCGTCCCCTCGCTGGCGTGTGGCCTCAGCAAGCGGCTCCGCCCCCACCGAGAGCCCCGAGTGGAGGTGACGTGTGTAAGACACCTAGAAGGACCGGCGAGCCGCAGACCCTTGAGAAGTGTCGGGGTCACTGGGGCCGCGGGGCCGGCTTTTCCCTTTTCCTCTTCTAGCCCTCCCCCTCCTCTAGGACGCTGTGCCGCCCTTTCTCCGCTATCCTCAACTCCTTTCTCCATTCACTCCTTCCCACATCGAGTCTCTCTCACCGGACAAAGAAACAGCCCCGGGGCCTGGTCTCCTCGTCCTCACAGCTGCCACCCACCCCTCCTTCCCTCCCAGCCCGTGCCATGTCCCTGCCCACACCTCCCAGGAAACCCCTCACCCACTGCAATCTGGTTTCCTTCCTGACCCGGGTGGAGCAAAACCAGACCCAGACATTAATACACTAATATGAGGGGTCCAGGGACGGGGCCAAGAAAGGGGACCAGGGACCCTGGTGAGCCGAGGACACACGTGGGAGTCAAATCTACATACTCAGTTTCCTCCACAGTACTGCCCTCCTGGGGCTCAGCCCATCTCTATGGATTAGGCCGTGTTCTTAGAGGGCACCGGTAGGGCTCTGAAGTTGATTGCACCGGCCACCACTCCACCAAAACCACTCTCTCAGAGGTCGCCTGTGACTTCCAGATTCTTAAACCCAAAGGCCACTTCTTGATCCTGTATCAGTCATGTTCTGGTGCAGGAACTAGAAACCGTTCTAGGCACCTTAAGCAGAAAAGGATTGAACATGGGGAATTGAGGGCTTACAAAATCAGAGGGCGTACTCTCTAAGTGGGTGGGCTCCAGGAACAACTCCCAGAACTGACCGAGGGGGCTGCTGCCAAGGCCGCAAGCAGGAAGGTGAGGGGTCTGAGGCCACCCCAGACACACCACTGTGGCTGCCGCCAGGGCTGAGGAAGCTACCGCCACCGCTGCCCCTCCCTCGCCCCTCAGGAAGCTGGTGCCTGGACACTGTGACACAGAGGCCAGCCACTGCCTCCTCTGCTACACCTGCTCCTCGACACCCACCACCGCCAAGAGCAGCAGGAAGACAGCCGCCTTCCACATCCCACGAGCACATCTGACCGGCAGAGTCAGATTCGCAGCCAGAGCCACAGCTGCAACGTATCCCGAGAAACGGTGTTTCTAGCTTTCGAGGCTCCGCACACAGTTCCGGGAAGCACAGTGAAGGGAGGGTAAGACAGAAGGCGAGTGAGCCGCCCCCTGCTCCATGCAAGGCCCCGTTCTCCCAGCCTCTCTGCATCGTGTGGCTGGTGGCCGCTCTCCCCTTTTGAGTACTTTTCAAGCCCCCGCCTTGCGTTGGTCGGGCTCCTCCGCCTGGCTCCGTGTGTCAGCGATGCCACACCACTGCAGGCAACAGAGACCCAGCAGCGGGGGCTCTTGCCTCTTTCCGGACGTCAGGACGGGGCCACCCGGGCCTGGAGCCGCAGCCCCGTGAGGCCATTGGGAACCTGGGCTCGTTCTGGTTTTTAGTCCCATCATCCTTAGCGCTTGTCCTGTATCTTGTGCTTGTTGCCTTGTAGCTGCAAGGTGGTGGCCGCAGCTCCCTCCCTCACATCAACATTCCAAAGAGGGACAAAAGCTGCATTCTCCTAGTGAGAATTTCCTTTTCTTCAGGAAGGGGCACCCTCCCCAGGGACTTCCTCACTGGCCAGAAAGTGTCACGTGGCCACCCTTGGCTGCAAAGGAGGCTGAGAAATAGTGATTTAGCTGTTCCAACTCTACAGTAGAGGAAGGAAGGCGGGAGAGGGATGGGGAATTGGTGTGGAGTTAGCCTATTTTTAATATTTGCCACAGCCATAGAGGGAATTCGTTGGCTCATGTGACCAAGTTGTCTGGGCTTCAGGCACGGATGGATCCAGGAGCTCATGTGATATCATCCATACTCAATCCCTCTTGCTCACTCAATCCATCTCCCCACTCACTTTCCTCTGCTTTGGCTTAATTCTCAGGCTCCTTATGTGGCACCAGCAGCTCCAGATCAGCATCATCCTCACAGCGAGAACTCACCTAAAAGTTTTGTTTTCCTAGCTGTTCCAGCAGAAGTCCCAGGACTGAATCTCATTGGCCCTACTTTGGTCACAGGGCCACTCTTGAACCAATCACCATTGCCGGGAGATGGAATATTATTAGCTGAACCTAGGCCACGCCTTCTCCACCCCCTTCCTGGAGCCAGGGATGGGTCAGCCTCATCAACCACATAGGCTGAAAGTGGAGGTGTGCTGGTCCCAAAAGGGAGTAAAGACACTCTATGAATAAGGGAGAGCAGATCCTTCTAGACCCCTCCCTCGCCTTCCCTGGCAATCTCCTCCCGTCCTTCTGACTCTCTGATCTTATCCTCATCTCTGGGCCCTTCTTCCAGCTGGGACCCCACAACACTGGGCTGCACAGGGATCTGCACTCAATCCTTTCTCACCCCAAAGCCTCCATGAACGAGCTCACGCAGTCCCATGACCTTGTGGTCACCCACATGTCGATGCCGCCCAGATACCTTTCTTCAAACTAGATCTCACTGTGGAGGGCCAGATCTGTAAATCCACCACGCATAATATATACACAATATGCAATACGACACGTAACATCAAATTTACTGTCTTAACCATTTTTAAGTGTGCAGTTCAGTTGTGTTAAATACAATCGTAACGTGCAACCAACACCACCACCCACAGCTTTTTTCATCTTGTAGAACTACAACTCTGCACCCATTAAACACCAATTCCCCATTCCCCCTCCCCCAGCCCCTGGCAACCACCGTCCTGCTGTCTGTCTCTATGAGTGTGACTACTCTAGGGACCTCATATAAGGGAAATCAGACAGTTTTTGGCCTTTTGTGGTTTACTTTGCTTAGCATAACGTCCCCAGGGTTCATCCACGTTGTAGCATGTGTCAGAATTTCCTTCCTTTTTAAGGGTGAATAATATGCCATTGTATGTATGTGCCACATTGTGTTATCCGTTCGTCTGTCAATGGACACTTGGGTTGCTTCCACGTTTTAGCTCTTGTGACTAATACTGCTATAAACATGGGTGTGCAAATATCTCTTCCAGACTCTGTTTTCAATTCTTTTGGGTGTATACCCAGAAGTAGAATTGCTGGGTCATATGGTAGTTCTATTTTTAATTTTTTGAGGAACCACCATACAATTTTCCACAGCAGCTGCACCATTTTACATTCCCATCAACAGTGCACAAGGCTTCCAATTTCTCCACGTCCTCACCAACACTTGTTATTTTTTGTTTGTTTGCTTTTTAAATAATGGCCATCCTAATGGGTGTGAGGTGGTGTCTCACTGTGGTTTTGATTTACATTCCCCTAATGATTAGCGATGTTGAGCATCTTTTCATGTGCCTATTGGCCATTTGTATGTCTTCTTTGAAAAATGTCTATTCGAGTCATTTGCCCATTTTTGAATCGGGTTGTTTGGTTTTTTGTTGTTGAGTTTTAGGCGTTCTCTATATGTTCTGGATATTAATCCCTTATCAGATATATGGTTTGTAAATATTTTCTCCCATTCTGTTGATAGTAGTTTTTAATGCATAAAATTTTTTAATTTTCATTAAGTCCAATTTGTCTATTTTTTCTTTTGTTACCTGTCCCTTTGGTGTCTTATCTAAGAAATCATTTCCAAATCCAGCATCGTGAAGCTTTTGTCCTATGTTTTCTTCTAAGAGTTTTATTGTTTTAGGTCTCACATTGATCCATTTTGAGAGAATTTTTGTATATGGCGCGAGGTAGGAGACCCACTGCATCCTTTTGCAAGTGGACATCCGCTTTTCCCAGCACCGTTTGTTGAAAAGACCGTCCTTTCTCCCTTGAATGGTCTTGGCATCCTTGTCAAAAATCAGTTGGGTCTCTCTGCCTTTAATCTGTCTTATCAACAGTCAGAGCAACCTTTCTAAACTGCACATCAGAGCTAGAGTTGGCTCCCAGCTCACCGCCGTCTGGCTGTGTGACCCAGGGGGAGTTACCGAGCCTCTCTGACGCCGAAACAGGATCACAACAGCCATCCGGAACGAGCAGCCCTTGAGACAAAGGATGTGAATGCCCCTCTGTGGCGTCTGGCACAAGAGGAATTTCCCAAGGATGGTTCCTTTCGGTTCCTGTTACAGTCAGATAAGATAAGAAATGGAGGCTGTGTTCTGGCATCCCAAACCTCCCACGGCCTGGTCCTGTCTCTCTTTTGAGGCTCATCCCCCGCCCCACCACAGCCGCACATGCAGACGCGCTCGCCTGACAGCGTGTGCTCAGCCCAGGACGTGCCTAGAGGCCACGCGCTCCGTCTCCGCCTCTGCAGTGTGCACACGCTGTTCCCCCACTGGATGCTCTTCCTTCTTCCGCCTTCTCTCTCCAAGCCAACTTGCGTAACTGCCTCCTCCGCGCCCCCTTCACTGGTTCCCCCCCACCTAGAACTAGAATCCATCATTACCTGTCCATACCTGTTCCCGGAATCACCACACACCAGTAGAACCACCTGTGGATTGTCTGCCCCATCCGACGGGCTCCCCAGGGCACGGCTGGACCTCACTCCACCTGAGGAGAGGCAGTGACGTGGAGAGATGGACGCGGCCAGATTTGTGACCTAGACTCGTCGGGTCTCACATTGCTGTCACTCACAGACTGTGGGACCCTGGACAAGACACTTGACCCTCTGGGCCTCAGTTCCTCATCTGTAAAATGGGGGCAATCATATCTATTTCCCCAAATGTTTGTGAAGATTAGAAATCAATAGATGTTTTTTAAACAATGTATCAAGTATTACATGAATAATTTTTAAGTGTAAAACTATCAAATGGGAAGCGTGGGTGTTGAATGGACGTCATAGGTCACCCAAGATGGGCACCCAGGACGCAAACTCAGGCCGTGTATGCGGAAGGCAAGTTCTTAACCACTATGGCATGTAGACCGATGAACGGGTGATGAAGGGGTGGATGGAAGGGTGGACGCTGGGAGATGGAGGGAGGATGGGGGGTGGACTAATGAGCAGTCACTGGATGCAGTCTGGAGAGTCCCTGGTGAGGCTGTCCCCATCCTCCGGCTGCAGCCCAGCCACCCCCCTACCCCCGCAACAGGGGTGGGCTGGGGTGAGGCAAGGGAGGGCCTCACCTCAGGCGCAGGAACTAAGGGGAAGCCAAAAATTCACTAGTCAAGATAAATAAGACTTTATGTGACATCTTTATAAACCAAAATCTATGCAAAAACTCATGATGAGCAGAATATCAAAAGTAAAGTTAAATGTATTTATTTAAATTTAAATAAAGACCCAGCACTTGCATGACCTCATCCGCCTCACCTGGTCCAGGTCCTACCTACCACCCAGCACCTCCCTACCCCCTACCCACAGCCCCCACCCCTCCGCTTCACCACCGCCATGCCCACCCGGAGGCCAGCGATGGAGAGTGGGGGAGGCACGCGATGCAGAGCGAGAGGAAGACACATATGGGGCTGTCACACTCTTCCCGGCGCCCTGCCCTGGCCCTGGCTACAGTCACTGCCCCACAGACCCCTGGGTGCCGGGGGAAGGGCCCTCAGAGGTCACCCGCGGACAGGGGAGTCTCAGGCCGCGGCTTCTCTGAGTGGCATCCCCGCGGCCACCACAGGGGGAGCCCGCGGGCCGGTTTTGGTCTCCGAGGACAGCGAGGAGGAGGGGCTGAGGGCGGGGACCAGACTCTCCTGCGTCTCCCGGTCTGGCTCCTCCTGGTGGCTCCTCCTTGCTCACAGACCCAGACGGGTCCCTCCCACTCACCCAGCCCGAGGGGGCTCCGAGCCCTGACCGTGGCGGCTCTGTGGTAGCTGCAGTCCCTCACACCCTCCCCTGTGGGAGGTACAGTCGTCACCTTGCTGTTACAGAAAAGGAAACTGAGGCCCAGAGAGGGGAAATCCCTGCGGGCGGCAGCTGGGGGGGA